CCTATACCATTTTTTGTCCTTAAAATGTTTTCTTGTTGACAACTTCTTATACCCGACCTTATTGTTATCATCACTCTCACTAAACATGCATTGAAAATAGGATAACCATGCACATCAGAACTCTTTGGTGGCAAGACCAGTAAGCCATGGTGGGGCAGAAAATTTCTCCTCTGATTCAGAGAACAGTGAAACTACGAACTCACCCATTTTTGACTTGCCAAGTAACAGAGATCCAATCTCTGATATGGTTGTTTTTAAATACTGTCTCGCTGATCTGAACGAGAGGCGTCTTCTTCTCAAGGAAATGGCAATGACTGCTAAAGAAGAAGAACTTGCAACCTTTGCCGAGAGAGTCTCTTTATTCTCTGGATGTTCACACCACAGGTATATTTTCTTTATATTGTTGCATATTGAGGTATCTTTGAATGGTATATTAACACCATCTAGTTCTTAGGGCCACTTTTGGCATTTATTCCCTTCTTTCAGAGTTATGCTGTTATTTCATTAAAGTTCTGAAAGAACGGAATATGTATAGAGCATATGCATGCGCAAGCAAAAAAACATTTGCGATTTATCTCATGGCAGAAAATCAGAAGGTTTTTTGTGTGTTATGGTTTATGTTATTTTCCTTTATATTTGTCCCCTGAGGCCCTGACTCCTGAGCATTTGAAATCGCTTACTCTTTGGAAGAAAACAAGTAACATATGAAAAAGTAAAAAGATAGGAAATCTGGAAGGGTAATACCAAAATGATATTGGCATCCAATAAGTAAAAGAAATCGTCATAAATGATCTGCTTCTGAGAAAATTAAGTCGTAGAAAAAATGACCAGCACAAGGCATAGCTGTTTTCCTAAGTTTTTTCCTCATTAGTTCATGAGGTTTAGAATCACGTTTTCTTAAATGACTAATATAAAGTAAACGTTATTTCTGAAAAGCAACAAGATTATCTCTAACATCACAAATAGGATCAACTATCAATTTAGGTTGAAAGGATTGCTTATATCATGGTTGAGATAAAAACATGTGCACTTGCAATATGCTTCTAGGGAAAATTTGAACTATTGGAATTAATACATTGATTTTAAATTTATGGATCAGGGTTAGATTGTCACACAGTTCAATATGATATAAACAAAATGTACACGTCTTGGTTTCAATTTTCATTTCATTGTTGTCATCACTATTTAGTGACCTTGTATGCTGTTGTCTGAATCACATTACCTTTTTAGGCATCAAATATCAATTTCAAAGAGGCTGATAGAAGAGGGAATTAACTGTTGGAACTTAATATCCAACGATAACCACCATGTCCTTTGGGAGAATTTGGTGTCCGGGCTTCAAGAGCATTTCCTGAAGATGACATTTGGTCGTATCAGATCTCTAACTCATCAGGTTCTCTTTTTTCTCTCTTAACTGGTAGGAAGTCTGAAAGAATACTTCAAAGAGGGCTATTTAGAAGTTAGTGTGATTACCACATGTTCTCTGAGGTTCCAAATCCACTTACTCACCAAATTCGGAACTATATTCCTTTTTTTAACTTGCAATGTCAATCGCGTTTGGGAGGATTTGGTGGATTTTTTCCACAGAAGACTAGATTAAGTTTAAAGGAAAAGGGAAAGAGAAGCATCCCTTTTTGGCGGAAAGAATAATTATCTGTCATATAAAATTTGTGAATTCTCATTTTTCTATTCCAAAGTCATTTTTTGTTGGCATGTGGTTATTTTGGGCAGCGTGAAAGGCCAATTTGCATATTAAGGGTGTGGCTAATGTGTAGTGGGTGTAAACCTTGGAGACCAGGGTTCAAAATTCCAATAGAAACAAAAAAAACACTAGGTTAGGTAGGGACGTGGGGCAGAATCACCAGTACTTGTGTTGGTGGAAGGTAGCAAGTATCCAGTGGAATAGTTGAGGTGTGTGCAAGTTGGCCTTTTGACAATTCCAAAACTATTTTGACAATATTACAACTCTGAAAATTATTTGCTTCTCTTGCTGATGAATTTGTCCAACTTCCAGGATTTCAACCTCCTGAGGAGAGTCTCTGGTTGTCAAGATCTAGTGTCTCAAGACAACTTTGAAAAGTTGTGGTGTTGGCTGTACCCAGTAGCTTTTACATTGTCACAGCAATGTATTTCTTCATTGTGGGGTTCGACATCACCCATGTGGATCGAAGGGTTCATAACCAAGGAAGAAGCAGAATCTTCACTTAGAAGTCTGGGAGCTCTTCAAGAACCAGGTACTTATATACTGCGGTTTCCTACATCAAGGAGCTGGCCCCACCCTGACGCTGGTAACTTGGTTGTCACTTATGTTGGAAGTGACTATACCATTCACCATAGACTTATGTCCCTCGAGTTCATTTACAGGTAAATGCACTATGTTCTTGTTGTTCTCTTTCTTACTTTTACCTAAATCTGTTGCATTGTAAGATTTTCTATGTGAAAGCAAGTTTGGGAATATGTGAGACATACAGAGTTGATCTCAGCATCACTAAGAGTGTTCTTTTCTATTGTCCATTGTAGTTCTGGGGTCAAGGGAACGACGATAAGGCCAATTCAAGACATGCTGCTTGAACAGCCTGAGCTCAGGCGACTCGGAAGGCAAGATTTCTTACTCTTTTGATCATCCATTTATCCAGCCAACTCTTTTATTCTTCTTTAAGTAATTTTTAGAAATCTTGAAATTGCAGGATTGTGAGAAGCCAGTAGGTCACTCAAGATTTATACTTGTATAGCCATATCAGAGAAATGAAAAAAAGGAAGTGTTCAAAGGAGAAAGAGAAACTAAGAGGGGGGATGGGGTTTTATACTTCGTATATATGAATGTCTGAGCAATTTGTGAATGTAAACGATGTGATAGATTTTTGTAAACTTCCTCCTGCTTGACTGGAAATTGAAAACCTTTTAGTAGGGAAGCGCGTTCATCTGGTGCAATTTCAGATACTAACAGAATGCAATAACATATTCAGTGTAATTCCAACAAAATGCCCTAAAGCAAAAATAACTTTTGAATATTGACACTCTCACTTGTTATGATTTGTTCGTGTGAACAACCCCCAACTACAAAAAAAAAACAATTCAAACTTTATACCTAATTTAATAATTAAACACTCCCAAACGTCAAAAAGATCTGCTTTTTTCCCCCAAAAAAAATGCTTCTTGCTTTTCACAAGATTCATGCGGCAGTTTGGAGCTATATAAATTAAAGAGAGTATTAATAGCATGTTTGACAGGTCAAACATTTTCCAAGAAAATCAATCCTTGTAATGTTGATAATATTCCCAACATCCACATAATTGTAAAACGACAGCTGGTGTCAGCAAATAATATATGTCACATTTCAACCTGCGTGGATTAGGTGTCACGAGTTTGAATTTTATTGTACACAAAAGTCTAGTATATAAGTGGAGAAGAGTTGATTATGCAAATAAAAAGGCCATCATTTAGATTTTGTCCCTAGTTTTAATAGTTGTACAAATATAGCTTTCGGAAAAAAAACATTTCGAACAACGTTAGATTCATGTCTAATGTATACTCATATATTGCTCAACGATACAAGACAAAACATTGGAGTGTAATCTAATGTTACAAAAAACTTAATTTCACTTGAAGAAAAATAGAAGGGCGGACCTAATTCTTCAACTGTAAAACGTCAATATTTTCAACAAAAGTTGGGTATGTATAAGTTTCAAGATTACGTTTACGTATATGTTTTTTATTTAATTAAGTATGTTTTCAACCTAACTCATGGAGGGGACACTAATAACGACAACAAAAAGTACATATATGCATACATGAAAGGTTGGCAGGTCTTTCTGACTTTCCATGAATAGTGAAGTACTAGTAATTATGTTTTGTGAACATATATATCAATGATTGAAATTTTAAAAACAGCCTTATCAGTTAGGGAAAAAGCCCAAAAAATAAATAAATCATATTCACATGAGACTTGTTCATACTGATAATGAGTTCTTTATAAGACTGACAGGTGAGCTAACTTTGGACCCACTATTATTAGATGCTCCTAAAATTGATGTCTTTTAGTAACTTTCATTGAATGATTTTGGTTTGAGAACTATGCATGATATTTCTTTGGTTAAAAAAAACATTTGCTGGGGTACCTTCTTGATGTCTAATTCAAGAAAATGAGCACTTCCTGCAATAAAGTTTCAAGGTGAAATCCTATTCTAACATCTTAAAGCTTGTGTATTTGAAGTACTCTTCTTGATTTTAGTAGCTCTCCGTTTGATCATAGATTTTGAAGATCAAAATTTGAGTTGTTGAAAGTGGTGTTTGGAAAAAAATTTGAACATTTCATGACCAAAACAGATAAATTTTCTAAAACTATTCCCAAAATCTATGGTCAAACACTTAGCTAATTTCTATACTCACACCCAAGCAGCTCCCATATAGCATTTATGTAATTGTATATAGAATTAGTTAAACCGTATGAAGCATGAACAATATTATCGCCTTTTTTCCTGAAGCCTAGCGAATTTTTCTTTTCTTTTCAAAAGATGGTTCTTTTCTTGGACCAATGAGTTGCTTGTTCAATACTGCAGACTGTTATAGGAAGATATTGTTCTGTTGGGACTATCAGTAGCTTTGGTTGTTGAATCTCGTGTAAGTTAAGTTGTGGTTGTATTTTCTGCAAGTGGAATGTAGGCACTTTAGGTTGTGTGTTAAGATTGGCCCTTGAGTGAAAAAACAGAAGGAAGATTGATTGTAGGGACGAAAGTCAGCCTTAGAGATATCCAACAACGCCAAGTGAAAAGGCGTTGCTCAGGAATAACAGTTAAAACCTGCATTTAGTTTAAACAGCTCCTATTCACTAACAATCTGTTGTTCCATTGTGTTTCTTTCTTCTGGTACACCTGATTAACAACATTTTATGTAATTCCACAGTTAAAGCTGGGAGGCCAAAGATTAAGAGTCGTTGAGTATTCAGGTACCTGTTTTTTTACTCAAGCTTTTTGCTCAAATGAACACAATGTTGGTTTCTAACTTGGTCTAACTACTTGCAGGACTAAATGGCAAATTCAAAAAATATTGCACTCTATGTAACAATATGTGTGGTTTCTTTTATCATCTCGAAGATTATTATGACAATCGTCTGTTACCGTAGATGGAAGAGAAAGCAAATGGTTGTTCAAGACAGCTTATCTGGTATGATATGATGTTCAATATTCAATATTCAAGTTTCGATATGATAGATGAGGAATTATCTTATGTTTTTGTTATGTTCATATTCAGGTGGAAAGCTAGTGATGTTTCAGTCGCCGAAAATGAACACGTTGAAGTCCAACATGTTCTTGAAAAGGACCATGAAGCTGACTAACAAAGATATTATAGGATCAGGAGGCTATGGAATTGTCTATAAACTGACAATTAACGAATCAATTTCTTTCGCGGTAAAGAGGTTAAACAGAATAAGTGCAGAACAAGACAGAGGTTTTGAAAGAGAGTTGGAGGCAATGGGGGACATAAAGCATCGAAATATAGTGACACTTCATGGATACTACAGTACAACTCAGTACAACCTTCTGATATATGAGCTTATGACTAATGGAAGTTTAGATGAAGTACTTCATGGTATATGTTTATGTCTGTTTCTTATTGTCTAAGGCTATGTTGCTCGGACTCTCAAAAATGTAGCCACATCCATGTCCGATCCTCCAAAAATGATGTACTTTTGGAGGATCTGACTTGCCTCCAGAGGTCTTTTTGGAGTCCAAGCAACATAGCTCTAAGGATTGGTCAATCTTTTAAGCTTATTTCAGCTTCTGCTGATGCTAGAATCAGAGATGCACAATAAAGACCTTTCAAGTGTTTGATATACAGATGAACTTTAAGAATGGTAACATCATAATGCAGGAAAATCGGCTGCCAGGAAGGTTTTGGATTGGCCTTCAAGATATAAAATAGCAGTAGGAGCAGCAAGAGGATTATCATATCTACATCACGACTGCATCCCTCACATTATCCACAGAGATATTAAGTCAAGCAATATCTTGTTGGATCATAACATGGAGGCTCGAGTATCTGATTTTGGACTAGCCACTCTGATGGAACCAGATAAGACGCACGTTTCAACTTTGGTAGCAGGAACTTTTGGATATTTGGCTCCTGGTATGTTTTTATTAGACCATCAGAAGACTCAAATCTGTGTTTGGAAAACTATCAATTATATTATGGTCTTTTGCAGAATATTTTGACACCGGAAAAGCAACAGTAAAAGGAGATGTTTACAGCTTTGGAGTTGTCTTACTGGAACTTCTAACTGGGAAAAAGCCATCAGATGAAGCATTTTTGGAGGAAGGAACCAGGCTTGTAACTTGGGTAAGCTTGTAGTTCACTTTTTTTCTTTTTCATGCTAGCTGCTTTCGAGCTGTCACTAATTCGGTCAGTCGTTCTTGTTCTGTTTTTACAGGTGAAGACAGTTGTTCAAGAGAAAAGAGAAGAGTATGTACTTGACAAAAACTTAGAAGAGTTTCCCATAGATGAAATTAACCATGTATTTAACATTGCATTGATGTGCCTTGAGGCAGATCCAAGTAACAGACCTACTATGGCACAAGTCATTATAATGCTTGAGCAAATAAAGATAAATGCTTTGGCATGAGACTCTCTTGGTGTTCTGTTCCAATGCTAATTTCTCTCAAATAATATAATTTTATTTTTTTGATACTCGTTTTGCATAATGCTTGTCCTTGGTCCGATTACATGGAAACTAACAAAACTTTGAGCAATTTGTTCCAATGGAGCTATGGTAACAAAACGGAAGACTAACTCATTACGTACTTCACTTGAGCGTAGCTTCCAATCCTTTGGCGACTGATGCTTTCAGTGTAGGAGAAACTGGATCACCTCCAAGAAATACGTCGAAGAGAGCTGATGCAACATTTGGTGACTCAATAGTTGCATCAACCGAGGAAGGCATCCCATCAAAAGAGAGTGAAACCTTTAAGATTTCCATACAATAGAGCAACAAATTAGAATTAAGAAAGCTAAGAAGAAAACAAAAGCCACATTTGATGCCTGGAGTTGATATAATCTAGGCCTTTAGAGAATAATGTAAATAAACTGCATACTTACAAGCATTTTGGTTGGGTCAACCCAAGTCAAGAATATGGAAGTTTCTTTCTTAAGAGGTTTCCCTTGAAAGACACCACGGAATGTAGAAAGAGCAGACTTATCATCGGCAGTAGGGGATTTGATTCTCGGAGAAATGGCTTCATCTAAGGCATCCCAGAAAGTTTTACCATCAATATCTCTGACCAGCACAATAAGTAAAGATTTCTCCAGATCGGCTGCAATTCGTAGAATCATTTTTAGCATCACCTAGATGATATGATCTCCTCCCAATCCCACCAGTCAAACAATTAAACATCGCCGACTCACCTTCAAAGATCTTGTTGAACAAGGAAGGATCCTGTTGAATATCTGCAGCAGAACTTCCTCGCCAGGCATCTAATCTACTAAAGACGGAGTCATTGACATAGAGGCCTGCAGCATAGACCTTGACACCAATAATAGCAAAAACCTTTTCCCTGTATCCTAAATTTGTAGGAAGAGCAGCAAAAGATAAGCATAGAACATAACCATCTGGAAGAACTTGAGACAGATAAACTAATAATTGAAATTTGTTCTTAAATTATTGGGGAAGATTATTGATTGATTTGAAGCTGACCAGTTCCAAGCAATGACAATGAAGTAGAGCAACCAGGTAGGCTCAATGATCTTTGAAATTTCACCTTAGTTGCTGGTTCTTCTGTGTATTCTGCACTTCCAACTGAATCCACGAAAAATGCCAAGTCATCAGCTCTCACAAACAAACATAAAGATATGATCAAGTGTCTTCCTTGTTTCATGAAGGCATAGTGTAGAAACATGAATCCACTGGATTTATCTCAGAAGTCAGCACTAGGGATTAAAAATAGCAAGAGCAAGTCGAAGAGTATTTTGCTGGTTGACTCCTGTCTTTCTGAACTGCAACATTAAAATATATGATGGTGCAGTATTTACGTGTTATATGTGGATTAAAAGACTATTTAAGCTACCTATTTGATGGCTTTTGCCACTCCAGAATTCTGACTTTGTTTATTTCTACTCTCATAACTAGAGGGTCCTTCCTAACATCTAATGAGAACGAATCTAAAGTCTTCAAATAATTCAAGTAGGTGAGAACTCTTAACAAACCAGCAATTCAACTGCATTTGTGCCAAGATCAAATCTTTCTTCCATACCATCTTTAATTTTTTATCGGTAATCAGCAATTTTCATTATTAAACCAGCAAAATGAGAATGCTGGAGGTCAGTTGCAACCAAAACAGATCGCCATTACAAAAATTAATTGTGTAGGTGAAGAATTCTAAATAAACCAGCAATTTGACTACATTTGTGCCAAGATCATATCTTTTCTTTCATACTAACTTTTCTTTTTATTGGTAACTAGTAGATTTCATTAGTAACCCAGATAAAAGAGAATGCTGGAGGCAGTTACAACAAAAAAAGATGGCCATTACAAAAGAAAAAAATGGTGAAGAACTCTAAAAACAAAGGGCAGCTCGGTGTACTAAGCTCCCGTTATGCGCGGGTCCTGTGAAGGACTCTAAACAGACCAGCATCTCAACTACATTTATGCCAAGATCAAATCTTTTCTTCCATACCATATTTGATTCAGTGAACATTTCTTAGACTTGAATATAATAACTGTAAATAACCTCTCGTGGATATAGGCCTAAGGTCCATTTCATATCAGAGCAGGACCCAATTAAATTCTTATTTCACGACAATGGAACCCCATATTAAATTGTCCACGTTCTAGATATCCATCCAAGGTGTGTGAAAATTGAAGAAGTTCCACATCAGAGGTTGATGGGATGGGTGGTCTCTTAATATGACATAGGCAATCATCCCCTCATGAGCTAGCTTTTGGGGTTGATTTAGGCCTAAAGTCGATTTCTTTAACAATAGAGACCATTATAAAGCTAAAACCTTTATTGACAGTACATGCTCCACACTGCCTATTTCTGTTTATTCACCACCATAGAGAACATAATTGAGTTAAGTTACTTAATATCAGCTTAAATTCAGTAATGCCACAGACTATTCTCTCCACCAGCTTCAGGAATCATGCATTTTTTTGTGCCACACTCCTCTTATTTTAAGGGTTTTTTCAAGAAGCAAACTTGGCATTGATCAGGAAATGTGCATTTACATCATTTAGGGTTTTCTCACTAAATTGTGGCAAACATCAGATTTGTATAAACATTTGATAAAAAATCAAGAAACTAAGACTACCCACAATCTGAAATTTAGTAAGTATTCAGTTTTAAGGGGTTTTTCCACTTTTGCACAAAAGATGTAAATTTCAGCTTAAAATCTGCTACTAGTAAGTTAGAAAGACATAAAGACAATAACTTTTTTCAAGAATCAGTTGTATTATTACCAGAAGAGGAGGCAGCAGCTTTGATTGTGAAATTTTGTTCATGGCCATTTTTCTCAAATGTGGATAAGGGATAAATACCATTTCTTGAAAGTTTAAGAGGATAAGAAATTCTTGGTTTGGTGTTAAAAGTAGTGATCTTTGTGGGTGTTGATGTTGAAATCCATACTGAAATGGCTCCAGCTGCTGCCATCTTCTTGAAAAAAAAATGTATTTTTTTAAGTGTTTATACAGAATTATGCAGAATATTTGTTATAGAAATTGCTACAAATTAATGGCCCACAAACAATAAATCTAGCTGTTTGAATTATTGTTCAATCTGGACTCAATCACTTATGAACAGCATTAGAGCCAACTGCCTAAATCAATGGAGTTAATCAGTTTTCTTTGAAAATCCAATCAAGCTGATTCATGATAAAGATTTTTTTTTTTGGGACCTTTGCTGATTTGGTACTATTGACTTGACAATAAGTTTAAGAAAATAATGAATTTTTAAATTTGTTGTCTATAGTAAATCTTAATATTAATGTGTGGCTATGAGTCATTTTTTGTTAAAGTTCTGGAATTTGAGAGTTAAGTTATTTTTAATTATAAAAAAGTAACGTACTTTATGAAACAAATAAAAAAAAATGTCACATAAATTTAAAAAAAGAGAGTACAAATTAAGTTTTTGTGTAAATGTAGTCATATTTCCAAGAAAAATATATGGATTGTGAAAAAACAACACCTATATTAGTAAATCTGTTTTTCTTTTATTACTACTAAAAATTAGTATTTTTAAAGGCGTTTTTAAGCGAATTTTAATGCGACATATCAAAAAACGTTCTAATGCGTGAATAAAAGACGTAGATGCATAAAACTTATGTTCTAGAATTTAAGGCGTAAGTCTCGAGTTAATAGAAAAAGAAAAAGCAACTTTATTTAGATTTGCCGGTGGAGAATTTAATTTTCATGCCTTTTGTAGTCTAGATCAAAGCACATAATCTTTTTCACTTGCTTTGTTTTCCTTTAACTTTTAAGCTGTATTAGTTTGGGTACAATTGCAGATGGTCATTCACTATTACTACTTTGGGAGCATTGGGAGAAAATCCGATTAGATGGAGTTAAGATTTGAATTTTTTTGTGGGTTTGAAATGTTATTAAACTCATGACCACTACTTGAGTTACTAGATTCAAAATGTAATACATATATATTATTATTAATTTTTTTTAGCACAAATATATAATTTGAGCTAAAGGTACTTCGATCGAATCTATCCTTTCACTTGGAAAATTATTCGATACAATTTATAAGCAAAGGACTAAATGGAGTTGTTCTTTAATTTGTTAGGAAATATTCATACTTAAACTTTAATTAAAAGATGGAGTAGAGAATAAAGTTATTGACAAAAGAGTGAAAGTAGATCTCAAAACTTTTTCAAGGACACTTTAAGAGAAACTAAAAGAAGAAGAAGGATTTCGAACACAATTAAGGAGATGTAAAAGACTGATATAATCGATGAAATAATTGAAGATACTAATGGTGTGCGGAATTAAAAACTATATAACCTTAAATTTTCAATTTTTTGCTATTTTAGAACCTTCCTCTTACATAAACGGCATTCAACCGCATATATATGCACATACACATTTACACATAAAAAAGGTTATTAATTATATAGAGTGTAATTTTTTTACGAGGGACTTCAATATGATAAAAAATCAATTGAACCCTTTCGCTCACCTAGCTTCGTCCCTATCACCCCATGTGCTCCATAAAAATGTTTGTTTTGCTTGTGGAAAACAAAATTTACCAAAGTGCATATAGAAAAATCTTGTAAAGGTAGTTAAATGACATGAGTCAGGACCACGCAAGCTATGATAACAATAACATAATGTTGTGACTTTTAATATAACATGAAACTGCATCATCAGATGTTTATATCAAATCAATAAATATATGACACATGTTTTTTAGAACATGATTAATTGGTTATCGTAAAACTAGTTTTAATCCGATGTGAGTAAGTTTTGCGTGTTGGGGATTTTTTATGTTGTCTTTTAACTCCACAAGATTCAACATAAGTCGTAACATCTCATCTTAAAAGTTTCCACTTTTACCTACCGTTTTCTCTTTAAATAAATTGCCAAACAACATTTCATCAACAATCACTTTACATCTCTGTTTCCTCTGCTAATCTAGTATAATCACTAATGGCTAAAGCAATTCTCACCCTTCTCTTCCTTCTCTCGTCCTACTTCTCAGGTTAGTGACAATTTTTTGTGTCGTTAAAAGTCATTTTTCTTGTAGTGTTACGATTTAATGTTTTTGTTCGACCATGTTCAATGTAGTCTTCTTAGTTCGAATCAGGGCGTCTCAAGGGTAAGACTAATGAAGTCATTGCCTTAAGTACTCGAATTGTGAAATAAGATTAAGAGGCCTCTTATTATAATTTGACTTTAAGACACTAATTACATTGAGTCGCATTTGGATGAAACTAATTAAATGTTTAAATCATGTTGTTTCAGCAGGGAGTCTGACATTAGTGGATGGACAGGTAAGTTAATTAAAGAGTTGAATTAGTTAATGGAGATTAATTGCTAGTTAATTAAGTGAAATTAGATTGTAATTAACACTAATTTTGGTTTTTCAGAAGACTTGGTGTGTGGCTAGACCTTCATCAGATGAGATGGCACTTGAGCAAAACATAGTTTTTGCATGTAAATATGTGAATTGCAATATATTTAACGAGGGTGGTCCTTGTTTTTCACCAGATAATTCGATGAATCATGCTTCTATTGCCATGAATTTGTACTATCAATCTAAAGGAAGAGATTTCTGGAATTGTAACTTTGGTAATTCTGGCCTTGTTGTCTTGACTGATCCAAGTAAGTCCTTGTTTTGCTCGGAAACGGATCTAATTAGAACAAGTTATGTGGATTCAACTTGAACTGTTACTTTCGTCTTGAACTATATATGTAAGACTAGGGGTGTACAAATCAAACCAAACCGACGAACCAAATCAAACAAAAAAAAAAAAATTGATTTGTGGTTTGGTTTGGTTGGTTTGGCGGTTGAAAAAAAAAACCGACCACTCTTGATTTGGTATTAAAAGAAAAAAAGTCAAATCGAACCCAAACTAAACCGACATAATATATATATATTTTTAATTTTTTTTAATTTTTAATTTTTTTTTATTTATAGATAAAAATATTATTTATAATCTACTTTGTTAATATATTTTTAGTTAGTTTATAGTTTTCAATGTTTATATATTTTATTTCTTGGGATTCTAAAATTTTGTAAATATTATATATATAATTTTATTTTATTTATAAATAAAAAAATATTATTTATAATCTACTTTGTTAATATATTTTTGTCAATATTTATATATTTTATTTCAAATTTGGGCTTGTAAAATTTGTAAATATTTTATTTTGTATTAAGATCCGAAGTTACAATTATATTGTTATAGTTTTTCAAATTTGAAGTTAACAAATTACTTTGTAAATATTTCGTTTTGTATTCAGTTTGACTGTAACATTTAATCTTATAAATTTAATATAATAAACGTTGATATTTCAAAAAAAATAATTATACTCATGTGAATTTTACCGTCTTTACGAAAATTTCTATTCATTTAACATTTCTTAAGTTTAGCTTATCACACAGGTAAATGAAAATATATTTGATCTCTTTTTCAAACATCGTATAGTTGTAAAAAACCGGGAAAAAAATCCGAAAGAACCGACTAAAACCGAAACCGAAAAAACCGACTTTGTGTGGTTTGATTTGGTTTTTAGATTTAATAAACCGACATAATTGGTTTAGGTTTTTTTTAATGAAAAATCAAATCAAACCGACCTATGTACACCCCTATGTAGGACTATTACTTTTTATGAATTCACTTTGGTAATTGACCAATCTAAGTAAGTCTTTGTTCTGCTAGGAAACGGATTTAATTAGAACGAGTTTTATGGATTCAACTGAAACTATTACTTATTACAAATCTATTAATAACTCAAATTTTCACAATGGCAGGTTATGGTGGCTGCATCTATGGGTGAAGTCATCAAGTCATGGTTAGGAGAAGCAACTCATGAGGAGATTATTATTATCATATTTTTTACTTTTTTTAAAAGTCAATTTCTTCTTATTCTTCACAAAATCGAGTTTAGCGACTCTATGTCTAGATTTATGTGATACACTTTTTTTTTTAATCTATTACAAAAGAAATGTTACATTTCTATAATTAAAAATAATTTAACTTTACAATTCTTTCTTTTACCCTTTAATGGAATAATATATATAGTCATTTGAATAACTAAGATTTGTTTTAGACCATAAATTTCAGAAGACGTCTTTTCTTTCTTAAATTTTATCTCAATGTATGAAATAGTCGGCTGAATAATAGTGGTCCAATTAGTTAAGCAGGGTCTAACATAATTCGAATGAAGGCTGACCGCTGAGCCCACTCTGACCTCGATTTATTCAAATTTCTTTTTAAAAAAATACAGTATTTATATATTAGAATTTTATGTATATAATGTTGACCTAAACATGGTTAAGACTTGGGTGAATATCACTTTTGTCATATGTAAATATATCATTTATTATGTCTTTTTAGTTTTTGTAATAATCGTTTTTGTAACAATATCTTACTATAATTAAATAATCATATATTTTTAAAATCAATTTTTCATTGTTATACTATGTTATATGTTCTCTATAACATTATTTTGCTTTTGACCGTATATTTATTATTGAATTTCCTTAATGCAAGTAGTAAGTATTTCAGTGCGTGACGAGGAATTTTCTTTAAAAAGATTTAATATTTTGAATTTGTGACATTTCTAATATTTTTTTTAATGAATCCTACAATCGACCGTTGGTAAGATATGTTCCATATAAAATCATCACTTAGATACCGTTCACATTTATCAAAACAAAAAAATTATGAACAATTCACAATCACAAAATAAATAAATAAATAAATAAAAATAATAAAATGGAAGTTTGACTAATCAACTTAAATGGAAAAGGAAAAAAATGAAGAAAAATGCATAGTCTTAACTCTATCATATAGGCTATAGCTTACTATTACGATAAAAACAGTTTTTAACGATAATAGATATATACATTAACAAAAAAATGTTAAAATCTAAAAATGCGTAAGCCTTTTGTTTAATATATAGTACTTCCTATTATACTAGAGGATTAAATGAGAGAAACACAGAGATGTCCCCTCCCATGTGAGTATTAAAGGGACGAACTGTACTGAATTTGAATGAATCAAAATAAGTTAAATTAATAAATAGATATGCTATTTATTTATCTAATATTGAATAAATTAATTTAATTATATTTTTATAAGATAATTTATCCATCTTTTCATATTGAAATAGTAGGTCATAATCAAGATTGAAAAGCAGCAAAAAAGAGATGGAGACATGTGAAGAAACAGTTAAGTGGCTAGTGAACACAAATGACCAAAACTGATAAGAGCCTGTTTGGATTGACTTAAAACAAGTAGCTTTTAAGTCAAAAATAAAAAGTCAAATTGAAATGACTTTTAAGTCAAAAAATAAAAAGTAGGGGGAGACCTACTTTTGGTTTCTAACTTATTTTAAGTTATTTTTCATATTTGCCAAACATTTCTAGAAGTCAAAAATTGATTTAAAAGTAGGTTTGATCAATTTTTAAGTCAATCCAAACGGGACGGCTACTATAAGTACTTGTTATTTACATAGAATTTCAGATTTCAAAATTCAATAAAATCTATTTTTATCGTAATTTTTTTATATTTTTTAAATATTTTAAATTATCAATTATTATGATTTATAATACTTTTTACGTGATTTATAAATTATAAATTTCATTTCAAAAAATTTGAAAATTTCATGCTCAATTTTCAATCAAACTTAAACGGTCTGATTCTCAAAAAATGAAAAATATCACATAAATTGAGATATAATTTTTTCTTTCAAGGAAATAAAAATAAATTAAAACCATCTTGACGTGTAGAGCAATTGGTCCACAAGAACTTTGGTATAATATATGGACAACGTACAAGTGAATTGGAAAACAAAGCATATTCCCCAATTGGCTCCAAAGTCCAAACAACCCAATAGATAGTACTAAATGTACCTATCTCACTTTTTATAAGCTGACAAAATTAAACTCAATCCATTCAATTCGTTCGAGTTTGGATGAGTTATAATCCACTCATTTATTAATTAATTTATTTCAACTTATTAAAAATAAGTTGATATGTAGCTCATGAGAATTCTTATCAAAATATTTTTTTAAAAGTTAATTTTCTTATTTGATATGTTATATATAATCCTAACAAAGAAAAATAATAATTTTATTTGGTGCAAAAATATTATTAAATAACAAATAAAACAATTTAAACTTGATAAGACTTGAGCGAGTTGAATTATAATAATCTGCATTTTATTTAACCCATTCCAGCCCAAGTAAATTTTGAATGTGACGGATCAATAATCCGTTCATTTGACACCTCTAATTATTTATTTAATTCTCCTTCTCAAAGAGGTAGTCTTATTCGAACACATAATTATAATTGGGATGCTAATAGCGTATGAATCAAATGTTAAGCTCAGAATAGGATGCCCTTCAAATATAAAGTACTCTTTTCATCTCTTATTAGTTGATCACATTTCTAAATCAAGAAAGTATTAATTAAATTTTTTCTATCTTACTGGCCTTGTAATTAATTCTTGTTGAAAGTGTTCACATTTGTTTGTAAAATTTTCAAGAAGTTTTTTAAGGGATGAATTAATAAAATTATTTTCTTATTATGATTTCTTAAGCACCGTGCAAACTAATATGAAACGGAGGGAGTAAAATTCATTTTATAGGAGGGAATCCTCAGTATTTAATGATCAAAATGTTGAAGATAAAGAAAACTGAAAACATGGAACATGTTGAACAACCACAGAGTTAGAGTCACTAGGATTAGGCTACTTAAATCTACTAGGTTGCTACTTATTGTACTAGCTGAAGTCGATTAGGATTATATTAGGACTAAGATTAGATTATTTATAATTGCACTATTATTATATAGTAATAATAGTTATTGTAGTGGGACTCTAAGTATAGTTAGCTTAGAACTCTACAATTCACTCCCTATATAAGGAGTATGTACTCATCAATTTAAATCATCAATACAATCATTGATTTCTCTAATCCTAGACGTAAGAATTCTACACGAGAATCATCCCATCTTAATTTACATTAAATAAGTAATTAATGATATCTAATTATAAGATACTACTAAATTATATATGTGTATTAAAACATACCTAGTTGAGTAGATAATTATAGTCCAAATGTGAAAAGAGAACAACTAATAAATGGTCTAATCAATTTGATAGTTCAAGTCGAAAAAAGAAACAACAGATAGCTAGGATAACTCAGGAAAAAATCCAATGTATTTTTTTTTTATCATTAATACAGTGTATTTTTTTAATATACGATATCTTCTTTTAGTCCTTGTCAAAATAGGACAGCAATAGATGAACATTCACATACGTAAATGCATATTTTCCACTATAAATTAAATTAGTGGAACATTCACGTACGTGTATATTCATAAAAATCTAAAATCCAAACAAAATTTGATCACTTTGAACCATTTGTAGTACCTGATAATTGGATGTATGTTAAAGTGATAATATTTAGAACCAAACGATTTTTTAATTATTTTTTAAAATTAAAAAAAGGACACTTTTTTTTTCTGATCTAAAAGAAAGAAAAAAGGAATCTAAAAATTATGTGGAGGAATGAAATTGCTGAGATTGAAGAAATAACTTTAGAGTCAAACACTTGGAGAATTATTATCTTTATATTTTAGATTATTTATGAACTTGTGGAATTTGATTAGTGATTCCACAATATCTAGACTTGGACACAAAATCTTTCCACTTTGTTGATTGACATGAAGATGAAGAAGTTGGAGTCAAGATTTGAAGTTTACGAATCTAAATTTGTTATTAAATTCATAGCTCATTTGATTTCACGTATAAATATTTGATGAATTATGTAATACAAATATAAAAAACTATTTAGTTTATCTGAATATGCACCTAATATTATAGCTTTGTCGCCTATGTATGTATAAAAATATAGTCAAGATTTGAAGTTTATAGGTTTGAAATTCTAAATCCATTTAAGTATTTGAGTTCTAAATCAGCAATTTGTATTAGGGGTGTGCATTCGGTTTTTTGGTTTGGTATTACACTATTCGGTTTGGATTTTCGATTTTTGGTTTTGTAAAAGTGTAACCCAATCCAATCCAAAATAAATTTGGTTTGGTTTGGTTTTCCTCTATTCAGTTCGACTTTTTTTGGTTTGGTTATTCGGTTATGTCAATAATTAATGACATATATAACCAAAGTAATAATATTTAATCCCTTAAATATACTTTCTAATATAAATCATAAGTAAAACTTAAAACACAATACTTATAAGTATACCTATTATAGATGTAATTCAAACATAAAATATAAACGTAATCATCATGAAAGACAATAACCAAAAAGGGACAAAAGTTCCAACTTAATTCTAAACCTAAACATTATATATATATAATTCAGTTTTTTTCGGTTTTCATTTTTTAAAATTCGAAACCAAACCAAAAAACCAAACAAAGTAATTTATTAATCCAAAACCAATTCGAAAAACCAAAAAACCAATTCAAATAAAAATTCAGTTTAATTTGGTTTGGTTATTCGGTTTAATCCGAATAGTGCACACTCCTAATTTGTACATGTTAATTAAATGATTCTCTTAAAAACAAATATAAAATTTGAATCAAGATTATATTATTTGATTCCACTTATCGAACTCATACCTTACACACTAACTCCAACCCTGTGAATGGTGATATATGCAGTATATAACTTTCGTAATTTATCATAGTCATGAGCTTCATGCAATAATTGAACAGAAAAAAAGTCACGATATTCATGCAAAAATAAAAAATAAAAAATAAATCGTCATGCGAGAAAAATTTATGACATACTTCGAATAGTTCAAATGT